TTTAGATAGCTGGGATAATCACTTGCTTTTGGGGAGCTTTAGAGCTTGTTGCCATGTCCCCTGTTTGATGCGGTTTGGTGTGTTGGACCTGTTACTCAAGATGTTCTCTAGAGATGTTCTCCTCATTTAGAGGGATAGATTGTTGAGTAGGGTTCTTCCTTCTTGGAGATCCTTGGACATAGCATAAGTTTCTTTTTTTGGAGCTTGCTCCAGGTAGTACTATGGGGCTGTTGCTTCCTGGTTTCTTCTTTGCAGGCCTGCCTCTGCATTTTTTGGGTGGTGCCCCAGTTGGTGGAGGTCTGTCTCTCTCAAGTTGAGGTAGGTCTTGGGATAAACCAATCTCCACAGGGTTCTCAGAGCTTTGGTTAACCAGGCAAGAGGATCCGCTGCTTCTCTAATATATGTTGCAGTATTTGCCATAAGGTCTATTGGTTCTTCTTCAATGACTATGCCTCTCCTTGATGCACTCTCTGCAGGGTCTGGGCAGTGAATGTATCGGACTGTGACATCCGTTAGTTCCTCCATTATCTCCTCTGTATTGGGGATAGCTGGATTTGGTGGAGGGAAACTCTCCTTGTCCAGATTTCTTTCTAAGGGGGGTCTTCTGCTTCGGAGGGACTCAGCAGAATCAGGGTTTTTGGTATGGGTTGGCTTATCTTTTTCTCGCCATTGGAGCTGGGGTAACCTGACTGAGGAGGATACTTCCTTGGGGTTAAGCTGTTTTTGCAGGTCATGTCTCCCATGTTTTGAGAAGTTTTCATTACTTCTTTCTCTTCTGTAATAATGGGAGTCTGAGGGGATCTTCTCTTTCTCATGGTTATGATGATAAGGTGATGTTTTAAAACTCAGGGGATTCTGCTCGTCTTGTCTCCTCATTTGTGTCATGTTGTAGGAGACTCTTTCTCCAAAGAGGCGGTTGTGCCTGTCTCGCCTTTGAGTGAAGGTCATATCTGCTTCAGGGAAATTATGTCTGTCTTTTCTTTTGGAAAGAGTTCTCTCAGTTCTAGATGAGTTCTGGTGTAATTGGCTGGATCTACTCTGCAGAGGGGAGTCCCTTCTGACATGTGTTGGTGAAGCTTTCCTTCTCTGGTGGCTGGTGAGTTCCCTCTTC